CGTTGAGAACCTCCCTTTGACTTAAAAATCACATATTTTACATATTTGTTATGTGAAGAACAAGGCTAATAATGTGGAATCAAGGCGAATTGTATAGGATATTGAAGATTCTTCATCCAGATTTAACATTCATACCAAGAACGTGAAAAATTCCTATTTCTTCAATATTTCTTCTTCCCAGGTGATAAAGTTTTCAATTGTTGTTGTGTAATTTAATGCTAAATATGTTGGGCTAGTTTTTCAATTGTATTGGATGATTGAGAAATCATATTTTTGTTTGTTTCAATTTAAGACTTTAATTTAGATATTTCTTGCCTTTTCTTAATTGATTTTGCATTCCCATTACACTATTTAATTATTTACCCATCAATTTAATAGTTAGTTACTTGTTATAGTGTAAGAATACTCACAATAAGTTTAGAAGTCGGTAAAGTCAACACATGGACAATAGGTATTAAGAATAATATCTATGACATGTGCAATCATCTAGCTAACCTAAACTAAATGCATGATTTTCATATGAATTCGAACTAGGAAAAGGACCGGATTGTGTTAATCATACATTGGTGTATCTTGAAAAAGAGCATTTAACATATTAGTATTATCGATTGTAGAAAATATATGAAATTAACTAGATCATTGTTATGGAGAGGAACAAGGATTACTGAAAACCAAATGGAGTTGGGGTTGGAGGAAGAAAATGAATCACAGAGCCAAGAAGAAAAAAGATGAAGTGCCGGCTAATGGAATTTGAATTGAAGAAAGAACAATTTTGGTCTTAAGTGACACGGCGTCGTTTCGTTGAATGAGAAATTATCCTAGTGGAAAACACGCTTTTTCCTTTATTTTCCTTTATGTGTTTTCTTTTCTCATTCTCTTTTGGTTATAAGTGCACTAGATGATAGGAAGGAGGGGTTGTCAAAATCATATTCTCGTAAGTTCCTCTCTCAGCTTCCTCTTACTTCTTTCTCTTTTCTATCTTCTACATTTTCTTCTCTACCTCAATTCTTAAATTGTAATGGTTTCATTTGGTTGCTATTAAATTGCTGGTTATCTCTTTTTACTTGTTGGTGATTAATTTTAAGGGTTATAAGTGAGTTTGGTTATTGTCGGTAGACCCAACTGTAGCATTTGGTATCAGAGTAGTACATGAGTCAAGGAGATGGAGACTATAAGCAAAACACGTGAAGAATAAGTTAAAAGGATTGAAAAGGAGCTAGGGGATCTGAGTGTGGTTTACTAGAGTACGGATCAGGTTGTGAAGCATCTTTGTGGAAGGTAGGATACACTTGAAGGATTGATGACTAAGATGAATCAGAGGTATGAGAATATTTTTGGAATGTTGGCTAAAATGAGCGAAGGAACACTGAATCCTGGTTCGGGAAATCACTCAGAACAGGGGAATGGAAAAGGAATTTACATAGAAGAGCACCCTATTCCAATGGCATCTGAAAAGGGAATACAAAATTCTGGGGCAGGACACTATTCTTCCCAGATGAGTGTTAAGATGGACTACAGGATGAATACCAAAATCCCCAAAATAGATTTCCATTACTTCAGTGTAGAAGGCCCTAGAGAATGGTTGAGAAAGCCAGGAAGTATTTTTAAATACATCAAGTGCCTGATGAGTTAAGAATAGGTATAGCTGAAATGTACTTGAAGGGAAAAGTAGATATATGGTTCCATGGTTTTATAACTAGCCACCCAAATGCAGATTGGGGGTTGTTATCTACTGAATTATGTAGGAGATTTACTAAGAATACAGCTGAGGAGGTTATTGAGATATTTAGCAAGTTGACACGGAAAGGATCCATCACTGATTACCAGGAGCAATTTGAGGAGTTAAAATTCCAAGTGATGTTGGCTTTATCCCACCTGCCTGAGTCATACTATATATCAATTTTCACCAGTAGGTTGAAGGAGGAGATAAAATCAATGGTGAAAATTATCAAGCCTACTACTTTAGCTAAAGCCTTTGAAGTGGCTATTTTATAAGAGAACACCATTAATGCTCTAAACAGAGAACCAAACCGTATAAACCCTACTCATAGACTAAATGGACTCAATCCAATTTCAAACCAACAGAAACTACCCATAAATCCACCCCTCATTTAGAACCAAGCCTAAAAAATGCCACCAAACCCCTGAAATTTAAAGCCATAACCCTATCTGATTTCCAAACTAAAAGAGAATTGGGATTATGTTGCAAGTGTGATGAAAAGTACATTAGGGATCATGTGTGCGAAAATCAGATGTTGAACTTCATTTTGGTGGATGACAAGGAAGGGAATGATGTTGCTGAATCACCAATTGATGAAGGAGGGCAAGAAGTAGAAGAAGATTCAGAGAAGATAATGGAAATTTCCATCCATGCCTTAGTGGGCAGCAATAGAACTAGAACTATAGACTCCCAGGAAAGATAAAGGGAAGAAGAGTCTACATCTTGATTGATAGTGGGAGTATCCACTACTTTTTAGATGAGCAGTTGGCAAGGAATATCAATCGTAGAATTCAACAAGTAAAACCTATATCCGTGACAGTGGCAAGTGGAGAAAAGTTTATTAGTGGGGCTGCATGCAAAACATTGGTCTGGAGAATGCATAATTTAGAATTCCAATATCCAGTGAGCATACTTAAATTAGGAGGGAATGATATGGTATTGGGGTAGATTAGCTAAGTCAATTCAATCCTGTGCTCTTTGATTTCTGCAAGGGAAGCATAACGTTCACTTATGAAGGCACTAAAATGGAACTACATAGTAAGGTCATCAAAGAGGAGTTCAAAATGATGACTGAGGTGGAGGAAAAGAGTTGGTTCAAGAGTCAAAACTATGGGGTCATAAGCCATATCACCCTTAGCACTGAGAAGGGATCAGAAGTTGTGCCAACTGAAGTACAAGCTGTAATGGATAGGTTTTCCCTAGTTTTTTCAGAACCAAAAGGATTGTCTCTTGTTGGATTTAATGATCATCATACACAAATCAAAGAAGGAGCACAGCCATTTAAACTCAGACCTTACAGATGTCCGTATATACAGAAGACAGAAATTGAGAGAATGGTAAAAGAAATGAAAGAAAGTGGAATAATACAATCAAGTAACAATCTGTATGCCTCCCTAGTACTTCTAGTAAAGAAAAAAGATGGAACTTAGAGATTTTGTGTAGATTACAGGAAGTTCAATAATTTGACTATTAAAGATAAGTACCATATGCCATTGATTGATGAACTGTTAGATGAATTGAAAGGGGCAAAATGGTTTACCAGGATAGACTTGAGGGCATGGTACCACCAAATCAGAGTAGCAGAAGAGGATATCCACAACACTACTTTCAAGACTCATGAGGGACTCTATGAGTTTAAGGTAATGTCATTTGGACTCACCAGTGCTCTTACTATGTTCCAATGCTTGATTAATGAAGTGTTCAAAGATCAACTCAAGAAATATGTCTTAGTCTTTTTCGATGACATTCTGGTCAACAACACTAATCTTAAAACTCATTGTGAGCATGTAACTGAAGTCCTAGAATTACTGAAGAGACATTAGCTTTATGCAAAGGAGAGTAAGTGTTCTTTTGGACAGCAGGGAATTGAATATTTGGGACATGTAGTTACTGCTGAGGGAGTAGCTGCTGATCCCTCTAAAGTAGTTGCCATGCAAGAGTAGCCTAGGCCAATGAACATTAAACAATTGACAGGGTTCTTAGGCCTTACAAGGTATTACAGGAGGTTTGTGAGTGGATATGGAGCTATAGCTAGGCCTTTGACTAACCTGCTAAAAAAGGATAAATTCAATTGGGGTGAAACGGCTGAAATGGTATTCCAAGAATTGAAGATTGCTATGAGTTCCACACTCCTATTGGCCCTCCTAGACTTCACCATAACTTTTATTATTGAGATTGATGCATGCTATGGGGGATTGGGGGCTATATTGATGCAAAATAAAAGACCCATTGCCTATATGAGTAAGGGGATTAATAGCAGAAATTTGGGTTTAGCCATTTATGAGAAGGAGCTTCTAGCCTTAAGACAGATCATCAAGCATTTAAATATATGCTAGAACAAAAAATTACTATCCCCTTGCAACAGAAATGGTTAGCTATGAAATCCAGTACAAGAAATAGGTAGATAACAAAGTGGATGATGCCTTATCCAGGAGAGACACCACTAATGATGTTGAGTGCTTCGCTATCACTACTATAGTACCAAGTTGGATGCGAGAGATTAGTAATAGTTAACTCAAGGGGATAATGAGGCTAGAAGTAAATCACTGCACTACTCCTCAATACACATTCAGAACCAGATTACACCTACAGGAATGGAATACTCAAATTTAAATCCAGACTATATGTTGGTTATGGAGGAAAAGTGAAGAAGAAATTAATTGAGGCCATTCATTCATCACAGGAAGGGGGACATTTTGGAGTTCAAGCTAGTATACATAGAGCTAAGTGTCACTTTTACTAGCCTGGTATGATTAAAGAGATTAAACAAGCAGTGTTGGAGTGTAACGTTTGTCAAAGGTGTAAAGGGGAACATGTAGAATATCCTGGACTCATACAGCCACTACCTGAACCTCAGTACGCGTGACGTCATATTTCTATGGATTTTATAGAAGGATTGCCTACCTCTGAAAGGAAGAATGTAATACTAGTTGTGGTGGATAGTTTCACCAAATATGGGCATTTCCTAGCAACATCACATCCTTACTCAGTTGAAACAGTAGCAAAATTGTTCTTGGACAACATCTACAAACTTCAGGGAATGCCGTAAAGCATTATCACGAATAGAGATAAAATATTCACTAGTGAATTCTGGCAAGGATTGTTCAAACAAATGGGGTCAAGTTACAATTGAGTTTGGCTTACCATCTCCAAACAGATGGGCAAACTGAAAGATTAAATCAATGTCTAGAGATGTACCTGAGATGCATTGTTTTCAAACAACCTAGACAATCAAGTAAGTGGATTAGTCTAGCTGAGTGGTGGTACCACCTCTATTAAAATGATACCCTTTGAGGCACTTTATGGCATCCAACCTCCACGGTTAGCTTTGAGACCTTACCAGCAAATCGATGTCACTGCAGTGGATAATCTATTTCAAAAGAGGCATAAAATTGATCATATCCTACAGGGAAATTTGGCACAATTTAAGGCTCGAATGAAACTATATGCTAATAAACACAGGAATGAAAGGGAATCCCAACTAGGAGACTGGGTCTATCTCAAACTTCACCGCTATGCTCAACAATCTGTGGCTAAGAGGATCAACAAGAAACTAGCGGCAAAGTATTATGGTCCCTACAAAGTAATTCAGAAACTGGGTAAGGTTGTAAATAAATTGGTGCTGCCAACGAGAGCTCAAGTCCATTCGGTATTCCATGTCTCCCTTTTGAAGAAGAAGATTGGGGATAGGGATACCCCAGTTCTTACATTCCCAGATCATCTTGTGCGTGAGAAACAATCTCTAATAGAACCTTGGGGACAATGTTGTTTTAAGGAAGGGATGTTATTGAGAGGAACAAGGAAGATAGGAAACCAACTGGAGTTGGGATGGAGGAAGAAAAGGAATCACAGAGCCAGGGAAGAAAAAAGATGAAGTAATGGCTAATGGAATATGATTTGAAGAAAGGGTAGTTTTTGTTTTAAGTGACACGGCGTCATTTTGTTGAATGAGAAATTGTCACAGTAGAAAACACACTTTTTCCTTTATTTTCCTTTACTGTTTTTTTTTTTCTCATTACCTTTCGGTTATAAGTGCGCTGGATGACAGGAAGGAGGGGTTGTTAGAATCATGTTCTCGTAAGTTCCTCTCTCAGCTTCCTCTTACTTCTTTCTCTATTCTATCTTCTATCTTTTCTTCTCTACCTCAGTTCTTGAGTTGTAATGGTTTCATTTGGTTGCTATTAAATTGTTGGTTATCTCCTTTTACTTGTTGGTGATTAATTTTAAGGGTTATAAGTGAGTTTGGTTATTGTTGGTAGACCCAACTATAACAATTATTAATTGATAATTGAAATAGATAGAAAATAGGGAAAATCATGAACCTAATAAAAATGCATTCGCATTTGGTAAAAACAAAAATTTACTTACGTTATTAGTTTAGATTAGGAGCATAAACAACCACAAAATCACTCTTTTGCTATCGCTATTCACTAAAATTTAATAATAATTACTGAACTATTTTTTAAACCTTATTCCTCATAGAAAAAATAAACTCGAAACTTGCTATTTCTATTACTTGTACAACAATCCCATACATTTGCGGTTTCATGAGAACATGAATTGCACTAAAACGGATATGCTTATTTTAAATTAGATAAATGCATGTTTGTGGAATATTAAAAAGATACATTTGGATATCAATTTTATAACCCCAATTGAGAAAAAAAAAAGGTTCATCTCAAGACATACCATATTCTTAAAGAAAGAGTAGATGAGGAAAGGATAATGGGAGCAAAATAAATCTTGAAAGCTTGAGCATATATAGTTGACCAAGTAGATGAACTTGAGTCTGATCCCATACCGTCGAGGGACACACTCTTGATCACATCAGCTCCATGTAAATCTTGTAGGATCATTTGACCTCTCAGAAGGTATGAATTCATGATTAATAACTGAGGATGATGAGCCTAGTAATCATGCAGAAACAAAGTCAGGCATTGACTCAAAGAGATGGCAAAAGACCATAAAAATTTAAGATGAACTCGATGCATGTAAACAAGGTTTGAAGCTTTATCAACCAGCTTGATGGGATAAAACTTATAAGTTGTAAATGGGTTTATAAGAAAAGGTGGACATGGATGAAAACATTTACACATAAAAAGTAAGGCTAATAGCAAAAAGTTATAAACAATGACAAGGAGTTAGATCTTGCTTGCAACAGTTGCATATCATGACTTGAGTTATGACAAATGGATGTCAAAATTGCATTCTTTAACAATAACTTGCAAGAGTAAGTGTACATAACATAAAGTTTTTGAATCCAAATATACTTACAATGCATGCTTGCTTGATCAATCTATATATAGATTGAAGCAAGCCTCTAATAGCTTGAATCATCGCTCTAATGAGAAAATAAGAAGGCTTATTTTAATTAAAAATGAAGTCAATCCATTTGTTTAAAGAAGAGTGGGAGCGATGTTGTATTCCTAATTTTATATGTAGATGGTATATTTATTAATGGAAAACAACGTTTTTATGCCCTAATAATTGAAATTTTCATTGTTAAAGAATTTTACCATGAAAAACATGGGAGATGCAACCTGATTTATAGAGATAAATTTAAAAATTACTAGACATATCCTAATCTACCTAGATAAAATTTTAAGATTTTATATGTAGTAAATGAACTGAGAATTCATAGATACACTAATGCTAACTTCCAATGAGACTAGAAGATAGCGAGTCCCAATCTGGATATATGTTTACTTTTAATAATACAGCAGTTAATTGGAAAGGTTACAAACTTAAAACAATCGTTGATTCGATAGTAGAAGCTTAAAACACCATTGCTTTAGAAGTAGCTATGAGATGTGGTCTAGATCAAGAAGTTCATTAATGAACTTAAAGTAGTTCCTAAAGATGTTGATTCCGTACCATTTTATTGTGATAAAAATGGAGTCGTCTTGCAAGCGGATAAACTAACGTAGCATCAATGACCCAAATGTATGTTAAGGTGGTATTATCTTATTAGAGAGATCATACAATGAAATGATAAAATGAAAGAATGAATTCCCACGATAATATTTTAGATTCATTGACAAAGAATTGTCGTAACTATGATGTAACGTGCAGTCGTCCCGAGGCAGCAGGATTATGGTATATCATTGCTACTTCTGGGAAATCTTCTTCGATTTAACGTATTCGCCATCTGAAACAATGTAAAAAATGACCTCTCCAGTCGGGCCACATAAACATGATCGTCATATATATGGTTTTAGATATATAAGTGATTGGGTCTAGTGTAAATGGGATTTTGTAAGTGTTATGTTTTAAGTCCAATTGATTTAGGTTGTAATTACTTTATGATTAGTACATTTTATTTATGGTAGATTTATTATTTATCTAAATAAATATTTTATTAATTTCAATAATGGGGTCCATAGACTCAAGTCTTAATAATAATCACTAGAAATTGTAATTGTGAGATACAAATTACATATGACTGAATCTTAAGTCATTCATTATCATAAGTAATAAAGAGATACGAATATCATGATCATGAATAGACTATCACACGTACCATTTCTTACTTATGAAGTAAGTAACTGATCTCACAACCTAAAGGGTGGCGACACTTATATGAACAAGTGAAATATTTTGTTGAAGGACAAAAAACTGGAGACCCACTGGATAAATTCTTTGTAGATAAGTGTAAGTGGTTAATCTTTAACGTTTGATAGTGGAATTGGTCTTTTAACTTGAAGTCATCACAGTGCTTTATATGGAGACATTCATGCTTTGGTGATATTGAATGTTGCTCTATCAAGAGTCAATAATACAACATTATTCAGGTATGTCAAGAATCATATAAAAATTGTGACTGATCAATAAAAGATTCGTTACTTTTAGATAGTAAGAAATCATGCTCTACATTTTATTTAATTAGATTGATGAAGAAATTCTTGGTTAATGTGAACTCATAAATCGAAAAGTCTTTTCGACCTATATTAACGTAATAGTAGGATGAAAGATATGATCAAGATTGACACACTTTGAATCTTATAACTGGTCAGATAATATTTATGAAGTGATTTTAATTTCATGGTAAATGAACAAATTTAGTTTTGTCTTACCATGTGAATTTTCCCGTTATATATGTTGCAATGACACATTGCAACATGTCAGTCTAGGACGATGAATGTAAATTAATTAATTTACGTAAATTAATAATAAATTAAAAGGGATTGCAAATTGCATGGGAAAAGTGGTAGGAAGAGAGATATATATATATGGAATACTCCCAGTTGGACCTGGTTAAGATGCTACCACCCTAGATTTCCTTCGGTGGGAGAAGTACCAAAAGTGTTCATTATTAGACAATCACTTATTCACAAACTTCATGTGGGACTAAAGATCAAAATAATAATTTTATGTTGTTAGATATCTTGATCGTGAACCTGATGGGCCACATGCATAATGAGAGCTAAAAAATGAAATACTGTTGTACAATTAATTAGATTACCTCCTAATGGGTTATATTAATTAATCACATTAACATATTAATGGATCATGTTTAATTAATTAGATTAATTAAACATTGGATTGATTATGTTGCATGTAAGGCAAAGCCCACTTGGACTTCTATGGATAAGCTATTAAGGGTTTGAGAAATCACAACACGTAACTCATAATCTTGTAAGCACGAGAAAAGAGAAACCACAATTCTGTCATTCTTGTACCTTATGTGGATTTCTATTGAAGACTGAACACTTGGTCAATTGTGAATTGTTAATCATAATGATTCGTCTTCAAGATAAGCAAAGTAGATTGTAGAATTCAAAAAAGGTATAATTGTGAAGCCCATTGGTTATAAATGAATATTTAAAGCAAAAGGGATTTGAATGGAGGTCTGGAGAGATATAATGTTCATCCTACTATAAATAGCTTTACTAAAAAAGAAGGCGTTGACTTTAAAGAGACTTTCTCTCTTGTTTCTACGAAAGACTCATTTAATTATTATGATACTTGTGACTCATTTTGATCTTGAGTTATGTCAGATGGTTTACAAATTAAAGAAATCCATCACTGAGCATAAGTAGGCTTTCCGTCAATGGTATCATAAATTTTTTCAAATAATTATCTTGTTTGACTTTCAGATAAATGCAGTTGATAATTGTGTATATCATAGGTTCAGTAGGAGTAATCATATTTCTTTGGTATCATGTGTTGATAACATACTAATTTCCTACAATGATACAGTCTTAATGCATGTAACCAAAAATTTTCTGTTATGAAATTTTGAGATAAAAAATATTGGTGACGCCGCTTTTGTATTAAGGATACGAATACAATGGGATTATTCTCAAGATATATTTTTGGATTATTACAAAAGAGGTATATCGTTAAAATTCTTAAGAGATTGGAGATGCAGGTTTGTGAATTGAGTGATACCCGTGTCACTAAAGTAGACAAGTTTAGTCTCAATAAATGCCCCAAGAATAAACTTAAAAGAAAATGAAATACTATAAATTCACTATGTTTCAATAGTTGGGAGTTTAAATCATGCTTAGAATTGCACACATTCGAATAAAGCATTCGTTGTTGAAATGCAAGGCAGATATTTAATTAACACTGAAATTGATATTTGGAAAGTAGCCAATTACATTATTCAGTATTTACAAAGAATTAAGTATTGCATGATTACAATCAAGAAAATCAGTCTAATTAGAAATCATTAGTTATTTAGATTCTAATTATGGAATATGACTACTACATTTTGTCACTAGGTTGCACATCTTGAATGGAATTGAAAGTTTGCTTAAGTTATTTTGTGATAATGGCAGTCTTCTATTCCAACAGAAGTTCAATAATGCCAAGGCTTATAGACATCGAGTTCTTGGTTGTTAAGAAAAGAACTCAGAGTGATCAGGCTTC